ATAGCAGAAAAAACCTTTCCCCCCAAACTCATCCTCAGCATATCCTTCCACCCTCTGACCACAACATTACAGTCAGGACTTTTCTTCCTGTTTTCTTGTGGTAATTGGTCGTTCTTTTTTTGCGTCCTCAGCATCTTTCAATCTCTGTGGTCTCTCACTTGACCTTAATTCAGAATCCTCCACTCCAAAGTGTTTACTTTGATCACTGAGCAGCCAGAGAGATCAGACATACTTAAATCTAAACATCTGTGACTAAATAATGCTATTGACTGTAAGCTTTCCCATATAAAGATTTAATTTCAGAACCTTACAATGTTAATAACACAACATAATAACTTTAAAAGGAAATGAGTGTGTTTAAAGGGATCTATAAATTAAACCTTTTTCATTTCAAATAAATCTAATGAAAACCTGTCACGTTATATTTTATGAAGCCTATTTTAGGACTATTGAGTTGTTTTGCATCATGACATTATTTGCATGACACTTGAGCATGTTCCCTCTCAAATGTCTTAATGTGTATTTTGAAATTTAAAAAAATTACTGTAATTAAATATTTTTATTATTATTAATTTAATCAGCAACATACATTAAAGAAGAGGGGTAAAATAAGACCTAGGCATACATATACACACGCACACGAATATATACAAATCTTTAATGAGAATGAGATTTTTGTGCTTCTGAAAAGAAATAAAAAAAATTTTAATGCCACAATGCAAAAATGTTTCATTTTCTTTATGCCATTCCTTTATGTATTTCCTGATTTTGTGGTGAAATATGTCCCATATATGTTCTTGACAGGTATTGTCTGATTCACAAGATTAAGGCTTTAAATCAAGGGCCCTTAAAGGAATAGTTCACTCTTTCTTTCTTTCTTTTTTTTAAAGAATTTTTTTTGAAGAAAGTCGGTAACCAAACAGTTGATGGACCCCATTGACATCCAGAGTATTTTTTCCTACTATGAAAGTCAATGGGGTCCATCAACTGTCTGATTACCGACATTCTTCAAAATAACTTCTTTTTAGAAGAAAGAAATTCATACAGGTTTGAAACAACTTGAGGGTGAGTAAATGAAGACAAAAATGTCTTTTTTAAGAGAACTATTCCTTTAATTCTCAGTCTCTCAAAGTCTGTGCATGAGTCTCATATCATACAATCTGTTTGTATGTCAAGCATTGACCAACTTCAATGAAGGTCACACATGTGCATGCATGTATTATAGTAGTGTTGTACAGTAATTGCCAATGAAAGTTTTATCCACTTTAGAGGTATGTTTGCTTAAAAAGTGTTGCCTTTTGACTTTTATTAGACTATTTTATGGATTTAAGCAATATGCTGCTGTACAGCTTCTAGTATGCATTGGTGATCTTCAGACACAAGGTAAAACACTTGCCACCGCAGAATATATATGGGTGTGTTATCAGTGATACATATCTGTATTAAGTGTCGACAATAATGCAGGATACTCACCTCGGGTTTCGTGTCTTGTTTTGAGGACGATCTGTGCGCGCACACAAATATTAGGAGCAACAGCTCCGTTAACCCGCTCCAAATCATTCTTCAGTCGATGAGTCCTTTGTTGAAAAAAGTTTATTACTGTTAATAAAGTCTGGGTGCTCTTTGTAACCGTCAAAACATAACCACGCTTTAGAAGAAAAAAAAAATAAGCGGCTAACGTTACCACTTTTGTGGTACGAAATCGACGAGAACGTTAATTTCTCCAGGAGAAGGGAGAATACTGAAGGTTATCAAAATGTAAACAATTACTGCTATAGATTGCTATTGCATCGTATTGACTGGAACTCTAAGCCCTAAAATCATATTGTTTTATGCACTACGCGCAGAAATATTGCATAGAGAGAACGCAGTGTAAATATAAACAGTGATCCTTTGTAAATCTCTCTTGTCTTATTTCTCTTTCATTGCGTTGTTGGATCAAATCTTCGGTTTCATATGCACAGCAGCCCCTTTCTCGGGGCTGTAGACGTGGTCGCTCGATAGGTGTTGCCAAAAACTGATCCTGAAAAGCCAAAGCCCTGCCTCCTCAACATTAGCCCATCCCGCTCCCCTCCACTTCCACATCCACTGCTCGAACTTAATGGCCTTGCTGACTATCTTCAACCGCTTTGGTTGGCTCGACCTTGTGGACAAAGAAAATACTTCATCTGCCACAGCCTTTTTTTTATCCCTAACTAGCCTATTGTTTAGCTTTTGCAATTTTAATTCATGGTTTTGCTTGACATTCGTTTAGTGTTATGTGGTACTTGAATGGCTGGTCAAAACATTTTGAAAGCAAACAGCATGACTAAAATTAATTTCACATGATTGAATGGAAAAATATGTGCATAATGCCAGGGCATTGCTTTAATCTAATTTATATTTTTATGGTATTGTTTGTGTTGACAGTCATAAGTATGAGTGTGTATGGAAGTCATTGGAAAGTCCCTACCATTATAGAAAAACAAATAGGTCAATGTTTATTTCTTTTGACTCAGGTTTACAGGAAAGGGAATATTATAATTAATATATAGCCTATTTATTTATTTTTTCATTTTAATTAGGTTAGCAATGGTGTATCTTATCCAGGCTCTTTAACTTGTGACAAATTCCCACAGTCCATTATTGTATGATTTAACAGCCTTTCAGTTGCCAATGGATGCACGTATCCCATATTAGACATTCTCTGACGTATCCCTTTTTTTGTTTGTACCGATTTTATGTCTTTCTTCAGTCTTGAGCTAAGCCAAGGTTTAACACTGCCACCCACTGGTGGGATTCTGACATTACGTGTTGCGTATTGATAAAGAGAAAAATATATACTGTATCAAGTGTCTAATCAGGAGCCTATTTTTTACTTTTAGAAGAGCTTCAATCCTTATTGCTGGGCCGCCCTGAATAATTTGTGGAGAGATAGAGGTAAAAATGTACTTTTATAAAAAGTTTAAATTGTCAAGGTATGTTGACTTCAGAAGACATGATGTGGGTTTTGAACTCATCCTGGTGTTTATGAAACTTTAAGTTCTTTTTACGAATATGTATGTGCCATTATCAGTGTATCATTATCATCTATCTTGTGTTCCACACATCCATGCATATTGAAACCACCCTTGACCTTTTCTTATAGTAAATCCATTCAGTAGGTAACAAAGTAAAAGATTATTTATTAAGCCATATAAGTTTTTCCATTCCTCAAGTCCAAGTTTTTGTGCTTAGTATGCCATATTTTGCGACTCAGTGCGTTGGCCTTGGAGACAGGCTTTTTTTGAAATGCCACTACGGCAATAAAGTCCAGCTTTGGGTTTACGAATAGTGAGCGAATACACGTTATCCACTTTGCATTTGCAACTGTAATTCTGTAGCCTTTTTATAGTTTTAGTACTCACTTTTAAAACCCATACATCACAGCAGAATACACATACCCCTGCAAACAAACATGTAGACTATACCCCCCCCCCCTTCCCTTGTCCTCCTTATGTGCCTCTGCATGGTTGTCATGGTGCAAGAGATTAGAGGCCAGTGCTCAGACAGATTGTCAACGCTTCCTCCAGTTTCTCCCTCACTGCGCTTGATGTGGCACACACAGAAGCAGTGCAGAGGAGTTTGATTGTGTTAGGGAGTGAGCGGATTAGGGATGCCTGTATGTGAAGAAAACTGTTTCCCACAGACCACCAAGGAAGAGTAACATCACTGTAAATGAGATCTATACTCTTTAAAAAAGTGTGTGCATTAAAAAGAATGCCATATAATTGTCATGTATACACTGATTTTTATTTCCATTTTGATCTTTTAGCTGTACCATGAAATTACAACTCACAGTCAGACTCATACACCCAATTCATTTCTATGGAAGATACATGTAGAAGTATCCAGACAAAGAACAAACATCACCATAGAAACAAACATTTCCACCAAGAAATATAGAAAGGGTTATCTTTTAAGCTAGATAGTGGTTCATCTCAGAATCAGTCAAATTCTACCTTTTTCAATAACTACACTGACAATATTAAAGTAACAAGAGTTTACACTGACTAACATACAGGCATGTTAAACAATCTTTCCCGACTCTTTAATCTAGTTGGTGTTAAGAGCAGTATACTTTCTAGTACTGTACAGCTGGACAGGACAAACATGGATACAATGGACATAGGTTGCCAGGTCATATTTACAGTTTGGTGTTTTGGTGCTTTTCAACTTTTAAAACCAAAATCCTGATGATTTAGTACAAGTAAAGAATGTTTAAGTACAAGTCAACAATATTTCATGTGAATTTGCTTAATGTAAATTTTATGAAGTGTATTAAATATCAGCTTGTCAAAAGCACTGGTTGGATCTAGGAAAACAATTGTACATGCATTTCCTCTGGGCTCCAGCTGTTCTGTCTGTGCTAAGCATTTTGAGAAGGATATCTTTTTAAACATTTGAGCTTATTAAGAAAATTGACGAGCTCGAATTTTTGGCCAAATGTTGATAAAATTGTCCACTTTGTGCATGACTGCCCTCCAAAACATAATGGAACAAGGTATCGACATAGTCTAACAAGATCTTTGACCAAACAAAGACTTTCTCAGAATCTGTATTTAGTGAATTTTATACTTCTTAATTTGAAATGCACTCCCTAATAAAGAAATAGTACATCAATACAAGAACTTTTAGAGAGGAACTAGTCTATTTTCATCATTGGCTTTATAAATTTTGCTCTGTTTCTCACCCAAAGCTATTGTTTAAATCCTTAGCTACCTTCAGATCTTAACTTTGGAAGAGTAAACAAAACCACCATGAAAACCTTGCACAGACAAAATAATTAACATTCATCAAAAAGAACATCACATAATATTCAAGGAAGTACTATAAGATATATTTAGACATTATATATATTAAAATACACAATGCAGGTATTTTAATATGAAAGATCAGGAACATTTTTTTAAACCAAGTTAGGACCCTCTATGTGATTACTGTGTGTACATGTGTAGCATTATGTGCTGTTTTTTTTTTGGGTGAACAGTCAACAATCATAAGTATCCTTTATAATTCCTTTTTCTTGTCAGCTATTAGACTGATCTCAACACTTTGTCTCTGTTTTCTTTAACAGCGATTGGTGGAGAGGTCTCTGGTGCTTGCTGATGTTTTTGGAGGGCTTGGCTTAAGAAACTCATTGATGCCCTGGTGGCAGGAAGGTTGCAAGGTGGTGAGTTTGTGACCGCTCATGATGCAACACTCTCTCTGGGCCCTTGGTCCTTGCTGGAGTTCGAGGTGCCTTGACAACTCCTCCATGGTGCTTCATATGTCCCTAGAAGTTATAGTAAGAGATGGTATTTTATTTTCATGTATCTCTCAAATTGCAACAAGACATTGTACCATGTTAAACTGTATATTCACCTTGAATGACACTAATTGTTTAGCTTAAAGGAGAACTCCGGCGCAAAATGAACCTTTGGTCTAATTACACATTGTTACCTAGTCAACCGTTATCTGAGATTTGTTTTCATGATTATCGAATGTAAATAGTTTTATCTCTAAAAACAGTTTAGCCTATAAAGCTAGTATAACGCTAGTATATTGGGCATAGTGTAATGACAAATAAAAATCGCTTGTTAATACCACTAACAAGGCTGAAAATAGACCCACACTAACACGGTAGCATAATGAGGGTCCCTACCTTCAAACCGAAGCATTGAGAACTTTGTAAGTGTACAGACAGTTTAATAAGAAGATATTTTAAACATGCAGTCAACTTCGCGTGTACAGGCAGAAGCCATTTTTGAAATACAGCCTTTACCAGTTGATCTACGAACGCCGATCCAAGTGCGCTGGTGAGAATGTGAACGAGCTATAAGTTGTGATAAGGTGAGCGCGAACAGCAGGCTTGGATCAGCGTTCGTAGATCGACTGGTAAAGGCTGTATTTCAAAGATGGCTTCTGCCTGTATACGCGAAGTTGACTGTATGTTTAAAATATCTTCTTATTAAACTGTCTGGACACTGACAAAGTTCTCAATGCTTCGGTTTGAAGGTAGGGACCCTCATTATGCTACCGTGCTAGTGTGGGGCTATTTTGAGCCTTGTTAGTGGTATTAACAAGCGATTTTTATTTGTCATTACACTATGCCCAATATACTAGTGTTATACTAGCTTTATAGGCTAAACTGTTTTTAGAGATAAAACTATTTACATTCGATAATCATGAAAACAAATCTCAGATAACGGTTGACTAGGTAACAATGTGTAATTAGACCAAAGGTTCATTTTGCGCAGGAGTTCTCCTTTAATGAATTCAAAAGGCCACTCACCTTGAGTCCACTGCGACTTGCATACTCTTTTCCACATTCGGAACAATGGTAGATTTTTTTCTCTGGCATGGGAGGTGGAAGACTGGGAGTCAGTGATATGCATCCAGTTGATTCTGTTTTGTCCATTTCAGTTCCTGTTGTATCTTTAAGGTCCACTTTATCCTTTGAGGTTGAACTAGAGTGAGTTTCCTTCTTCTGCACATGTATGTTGTCAGGCCTCTCAGTCTCAGCTGCGTCCTCACTTGTCTTGTCTACAGTGTCTGACCCCACATCAGCATTAATACTCAAATCTGGAGTTGTCCTTTGACCATTCTTTGGTGTTTTATGTATATCTTCCGTCTTTTCTTCCTTAGGGAACTCTTGGTGGATTGATTTGGATATTTGGACAAGGCTTTGGTCAGGCTCATCTAGGCGTACTGTATAAGTAGACACACTATCAGATCTCAGCGCAAGAACAGAAGGTGGTGTTGATGTTGGATGTGGCCGAGGATCCCTGGATGCATTATGAGCTTGTATACCAAGGAAATCCTCTAGATTTGATCTGGATCCAGAGCAAGAAATGGGTGAGAGAGATGTATTTTCACTGAGTTCACAGTCATCTCTTTGTGGACTGGCTTTCATTAGAGCAGAGGAGCATGAAATAATTTTGTCTTCCAAGGAGGCAGTGTTGCTGGAAAGTTCAAAAGATAGTTCATTAGTGGCAGAAGGACCAGTTGTTGCTGATGCTGACTGAGTGGCAGGAGGGACAAGGGAGGCTGTAGATTCTACTGGAGAAGGTATACTGAGAGAGAGCTCAGGGGGATCAGGTCTGAATGTTGGAGGTGAATGGGGGGTTGGATTCAGGGAGGGGTCAGGGCTTAGGTCGAAAGGTGGTATACGACCTGAGCTAAGTGAAGCAGGTAAGCTGGAGGTTGCGGGACATACTGTGGGACCTGTACTGTTAGCAAGGGATTCAGTATGTCTAGAATCTGATACTGTTTGTAGATCAGCATGTAATAACTGAACATCCATAGTGCTAGGGCTTATCTCTGAAGCAGAGAGCTCAATAGACTGGGGATGGGACAAAGTATCACAATCTGTTGAAGTATCAGGCATGTTCTCTGGTGGTAGCTGTCCTCCTAAATGCATGCGGATATGATGTTGCAGCACAAGGGCATTGGTGAACTTCCGTTGGCATAAGGGACAAGAATTTTGGGCACGACTGTTTGGTGGGCGGGCTCGATGGGTGGCAAGGTGTGCTCGCAGGCTTCCTTTAGTTGAGAAGGAACGACCACATAGCTTGCAGGGGAAGGGTCGCTCACCTAAATGAGTAGCCTGGTGCAAACGCAACGCTCTTGGGCAGCTTAACACCCGCAGGCACACACTACACTGATTTGGGGCAAATGTCCCAGCAGAGTTCATAAGTCCCAGGTAAGGTGACTCCTTGCTGAAGAGGGATGATGGTATTTGGATTGTAGATGATGGAAGTGAGGTGACCACATTTGTACTGAATGTGCTTGTGCTCATTAAGCCACTGCTGCTATAGCTTAATGCACCTGCTACACTATGGCTGCTGGTAGAAGTCTCCCCAATGGATGAAACCCAGTGTGACTGACTGTGTGGTTCTTTCTCTAACTTTTCCACCAGTCTCTGCAGCTTTGATGTGTCCGAGGTTGAAGTCGAGATGGAAGGGGCCGTGGATGAAGCTGTGAATGGGGATGTGATATGTTGTTGCGGGGATGGCAGAAATGATCCGGCTGGAGTTGTCTGCCTGAGAAACCCATGACCTGGAAGATGGTGAGTGGAAGATGCTGGGAAGAAGATTTTGGGTAAGTTGGCAAGCTGTGAGTAAGCAGAATGGGGCAGCAGAGTAGGTATAGGTGGGGTGTTCTCATCAAAGCGCTGTTGTTTCACTCCTTTATATACCCCAGCAATGGAGGAGGTGGATGAGGCAGGAGCTGAAAGAAGGGTGGAGGCCAGAGAGGATGTTGATGAGGATGTTATTGAGGAGGTAGCGGATGTAGAGGCTGCAGCAGCCGCAGCAGCAGCAGCACGGTTGAGCTGAAGGAGAGAGTGTGCAGTGGTCAGCAGAGCCAAATCAATACTAGGAGGCAGAGATGAGGTTGTGGCGCGTGTTGAGGCAGTAGTGCCCTCAAGACTGTCACCACACAGATCATCCTCTTGCTGGATCTGAAGCTTCTGAATAGCATTTGTATTGTTGGAGGTGACAGTTTGAGTTTGTGCTGATCCTCCCATTGATCCCCCAGTAACAGATGCAAAAAGTGAACAGGGAAACAATGAAAAAGAAAGTTCAGGGTTTTGCTCACGATGGCGCAAGAAGTGGACCTTGAGGTTCCCTCGTGTGGTGAATCGACTGAAACATACAGGGCACTGGTAAGGACGCTCCCCTGTGTGTGAACGCAAGTGTATTTGCAGGGATGAATCGCTGCTGAAGAGTTTCCGACAAAATCGGCATGCATGATGCATACGCCCCGATGATAAGACAGGCGTACCTCCTTGAGCAGAGAGTTTTGGACCCTGTGAGGGGCCAGTAGGGACAGCAGCCGTTGATAGAGATTGGTTCGGGAAGGTAAGACTACTGTTTCCACTGGCTGCTGTGGTGTTGGATGATTTTTGTGATGATATGCCCAGGGAAAGTGTGAGTGGATAGTTTGAGGCAGCAGGTGTGGGCATTGATGAGGATGTGGCAGCACTTGTATGATTGGTGAAATTTGCTGGAGTAACTACCCCACTATCATACTGTGCCTTATGGGGGCGTAAGACATTCAAGAGAGGGTGGGCATGTTTGGAGGACTTGGAGGTGGTCTGAGGTGGAAGCAGGGATGAGAAACAGGCCAAAAGAGGAGCCACAGAGGTAGGGGGAGGTGATGACTTTGGTCGGGAGGGTCTGGGGTTGTTATCAGAACCTTTTAAACAAAGCTGTGGCAGAGATGGAAGTATAAATGGCTTTGAATCCACTTCACAAGATCCTCCTCCCAGCCTCAGTACTTGCCTACAGATTTCCTCAGTCATCTGCATTTGATGGATTTGCCTCTGCTGCAGCACACGTAGCTCCTCCAAGATGAAAGCAATACTGACGGGTGCACATGCTGGGGCTGAAGGAACTGAGCTTGGGCTGGAAGAGGGTGTAACTGGACTTGGGGGACCCTGAGGCACAGAATTGGGGCTTCCAGGATGTGGAGGCACACAAAGAGAAGCAGCAATGGAGGAGGATGAAGAGGTTGTGGTTGCTGACACGCCTAACTTTGGAGAAGCCATGGGTGAGTGATGGGTAGAGAGCACGGTTGGTGCAGTAGTAGTGATAGGTTGATTAGTAGAATGGGATGGTGTGTCAGGAATTTGGGAAAGGTGAGACTCTGTTAGGTTTAAAGGAAATTGAATGGGCTGGCAGGGAAGGTGAAAGATACGATGGCTTGGTCTGGTCAGAGAAGGTGTTGTGAGCCTTTCAACCGGTGGACTTGGGTTTAAGGTAGATTGGCAGCTTTGAATTGTAGAGTATGAGGAAGAGCAGGAAGAGTTCTTTGCAAGAGTAGAGGTGAGGGACTTCACTGCCAACTGCTCCTCTAAGAAATCAGAGAGAAACTATTTATGCAACAATTTATGCCATACAGATACTAGTCTAGTCTAATGTTTAAAATCCAAGTCCAATAAAAAGTTAGAATAAAAACGGTAACAGGTCAGGAAACTGATACTAACCAGTTATATATTAATATTATACAATTAGTTTTGTAATTTAATTAATTTTATTCTCACTAGGTTCTTACATGTTTATTGTTTGTTGTCTGGCACATTATTGTTGTTATTGCACTTGTGAACTGACAAACCCAAATGTTTTTAGCCTTATGAACCTCATAACCCAATTTCGAATCTTTACTTCTTTTCCTTTTATTTAGTTTGTTGTCGCCTTGATTGCTTCCAAATTGTTTTTACTCACTGCTTACACAAGCATCACCAAGGAAACATAGCATATGGGGAGGCTTACAGAAGAGGATACCTCTGGCTGACCTGGAACACTGTATTTCTATTAAATGCCAACCAAAGTGTAGTATTGCTGTTCTAAACAAGGCTCCCATCAATGGCACCTACTGTGCCACTTGAACTCCCGTTATCATAAATCTTTTTTTAACATTTAACTTGTAATATTAAAAAATGTATCTGTTATCATATCTCATAAAGCATGAAGAACACAATTTGTACTTTTTATTTTAACCTCTTTTTTAAGTCAGTCTTGCACATGGCTGTCTTCTCCTCTCTCTCTATCCCCTCACTCCCTCTGATCTGAAATCTCATCCCTTGACCAGCTTACAACAGCCAACTAACAGCCAACTTTGTTTCCACAGCAACAATGAACATGGACAATGAACCTCGCCACAAAATTCCCAAACCTCTTCACTGACCCACCCTCTAAATTGTGTAAGTGAATATATTTCATTACATCCCATATATATATATTTTTAAATTCTTCTCTCCTAACCCAGCAAAGCCTGAAAGGTCAGTGAGCCTTAGTGCCACAGTCAACCACTAAAAACAGCTAGATTGCTTAAAATAAGTGACCTTTAGCATTGGAGCCATATCCAGACACCAATGTGAATTTATAGAGGACATAATAGCATGAATACAAAATTTAATAGAGATACATACACACTCATACTAGGGAGAGATGCACAAAGAGTTTCCTGTACTTAAAGAACTCTAGAATTTAAGTCACAGATCAACACACTCTTATGCACGTACTTCCTGGCAGTTAATGCCTGACTGCATGACCACAAAGCCTCACAGAGACAATTAAGTCTCATGCCATTCCCGCTCAAGTGGCTCCTTCTTTTTCAATGTTGTCCACCTTTTTCCACAACCTTTTTCTAATTCCCTTTTCAAAACCCAGTTCAGCATATTACACATCTCTGTTCCCTTTAGGTTTGCTTTGCTATTTGGTCTTCTCATTCTCATTAGCTATACATACAATATCGTGGGTGGTCTAAATTCTTAGCTTGGGTCAGAAAAAGATGAAAAGTACTAATTGGATATTCAACGGAAGCTGTTGGGATCTATTTATATGTAAATATTACTGAAATTTCCTTTTATTTTTACTCTGCTTCATTTTACTTTTCTTAAAACTAGATCAGATATTTTAAACGTATGAATCCATTAATGTCACAGCAAATATCTCGAATGGCATTTGCAAGATGGCTCGCTGGCAGAAACAATGGAGCTTCTCTTACTAAACGGTAAAACATTTCTCACCATGTTGAAGTAGCCACGAAGTGTTGTGGATAGGGCTGAAAAAGTGCTGAGGTCTTTTCTGTTTCCGGCGTGACATGATGCAGGGGAAAGTCAATGGCTAAATGGCCCATGGGTTGAATCAGACTGAAAATCTTTCTCTTTAAACTAAATTACAGTAAGTCTCACTGCATTAGTACTGAGAAACAATCAAAAATCCATGTTTCATTTATATAGAGAGCTACAAGGCGGAAGGCCAAGTGCATACATGAGCAAGCAACGTCTCAAAAGTGAACTAAGCACTTGGCAAACTAAATCTGTGTCTATTCAGTGTCTAACTAAAATCCAAAGACAACTCTCCACCTCCTTTTCCCTGTTTCTCTCTCAAACACAGTCTCGGCTTGTTCTCTCTGCATTTGCATTCAAATAACGCAGAACACCACCTACTCATGCATATACCCCTCCTTTCTCTTACACCCCCAAGTTTTAAGGCGTTCCCCTAAACCTTTTTTTAAGTCTCAGTATTGAGTATTTAATAATTAGACACCAAGAGCATGTAAGGCTGAGGTACAGTATAATGTATGACATTTTGAAAAAAAAAAATGTCTTGTAACTTGTTGCCAAAAAGTGGCAGAGGACCAAATGTATTCATAGTTAACATAAAGTGTTAGGCTATATTGTTTTATAATGTCATATTCTCATTGCCTTTTTAAATTAATCTCAAACATGACTGTAAACTTTAGCTCCTTAATGTAATGCATTCAACAGGCCTGCATTAAGTTCATTAGAACTTAAAAGGACCTGCAGAGATTCTCATTTCAACGGCATTACTGTATTATTAAAATTTAAGCCAAATAATAGAATTTGAAACAATATCTAAATTCTGATTGTCTATAATAGCTACGGACGTGTCATGTTTTCAGGTGAGTCGATTTCAGTAGCATAATCCAATGTCATGGTATTTATTTTAGAAAACTATAATACATCCTTGTCCTCCTCAACAGTATGATGTATTTCATGTGCATGGTTTTTTTTTATCATTTGGCTTTCACAGCATTTGGTTAACCACATATTCCTTACATATTACAATTATATTATTATGTAATTTAAACTCAAGACGTTATTATTAAAATAATATTAATGCCAAAACACAATAAAGTGTTTAGCTAGCATTTCAATTTATGCTATAATACACCTCGTAAAATTCTTGTACAAATGTCATAATTACGTCAGCAAAATGCACGCGGGAACTACAGCTCTACTGTACGCGCGACCTGTTGCGTCCTCCGGCGCGCTCTATGATCATAACCAATTATGATTCATATTTCTTATGACTACATGAAATACTTTGACGTAACTGACATTTGGAGCCTACGGATTGTAAATGGTATAAACACTTACCAGCAGGCGATAATCTTTCTCGGCTGTTTGTGAAATTAGGGTAGATTACGTCGTACAGTGTCTGGGTCGTAATATCATCATTGCTGTTCCGGCATTTTGCCACCGTGATGCGCAGTCGGCTTTGACAGCAGGCAGTTCGACATCTAAATTATTTATTTGCTGTACTGTCGTTACACTGTATATTGTTGTAGTCGTGACTGGTCACTTCTCACCCATTGTTCAGTGTTTGGTTTGATGGCACATTGCGATTTTGTAAAGTGATATTTCGCTATTCCTGTCATTCCCACAGTCCTCCCCTCCCTCGCTGCTCTGCTTCCTTTGTATTTGGTAAAAATGGCCCTCTCCCCGGCCTGAGCCTTTGTTGAGCACACTAGCGCTGCGGCATAGACGGATGTCTGTCTGTGAGTCTGTCGGTCCAATCCGGACACTGTCTCCGCAGAGTAATTAACCAGCCATTACGAATCATGTTTGGTTTTTAACTGCCTAAAGTGTGAGGCCTTTACGTTTGCTTGAGGTCTGTGACACAATTGTCTTTTTTAGATGATGTAATCTGCTAATAATTCTTAGGCTACTATGGAAAAAATGCATTTTAGGCTAAATGAGAATGGTGTAGGTCCCGGTGTTGTTCGCGTTGAATTTTACATGTGTTAGCCATAATATTGGAGTTATTACTATTGTTATAGAGTTACTGTGTAAGAATACAACTGTTCAGTTTACTGGGACACTGAGTAGCTACGTTGCTAACAAGTTGCTAAAAAGGACTACAACTACCACAATGGTGTGAATTTATGTGCTTGATGAGTTGGACAGTGGTTGTAGTCCATGAGTAACATGAAACCTAGAGAGCAGGGCTGCAGGGCACAACACTTTTTGTCTTTCTCAGTTTGTGTAAATCCATTTTGTTAAGAGCATTTATGATGTTACAAAAGATTTCTATTTCAGATAAATGCTGTTCTTTTTGGACTTTTATCAAATAATCCTGGAAACATTTTTACAAAATTGTAGGCCTACACTGTTTTCAACAAATCAGCATATTACAATTTAAAAAGCAAGCCTTTAAAAAAAAGACAATTCAAATTTGAATATCCAATGTGGATTGACAGAGAAGCAAATGAAGGGAAACCTTGTACACCCTTGAAAGTCACTGAGTATTTAGTAAAAAACAAAGCCTATTTATTTATTCGTTTATTTATTTAATGCTTTTATTATCTCATACGTTCTATAAGACACTTACAATGTTGACCTTGCATTCTTGATTTTTATGTAAATCAATGCAAATCAATTTGTCCAAATGTGAGTGACTGACTGACAAATGTGAGAAATGCCATGCTTTTATTAAAGTGCCCCTATTATGGTTTTTCGAATATTCCCTTTCATGCAGTGTACAATATGTCTGTGAATGTTAACAGTCTGCAAAGTTGTAAAGTAAAAAATGCACAATAAATAAAGTTATTGTCACTCTGAATTGACTATAACGAGTCGTTAGAAATTCAAATCCCAATGAGTTACGACTACACGTCACAAGATAATTTACAATGCTTCTCAGAATCACAACTTTTAAGTATGATTAATTATTGATGTATATATTTTCTACCGTGTGTTCAAATAATGTAGTTTTGTGTTTTATATTGTGCATGTCTCCGGCTAACCTGCTTACTCACGTTTCACTGTCATACAGAAATAGTTAATGCTAATCAGCTGTGGGCCACTATTACCTAAAATGGTGTCTAATGCAGATTGTATGTTGTTCTTACTACTTTGAGTAATGATGAAGGATGGAGCAAGATATGTTTTACAAACTTCAATGTAACAACATTCATTCACGTTAGTGCTCGGCTAATGTATGCACTATTATTGATACAGTTAATAAAGTTTCCCGCATGTGCAGAGCAATAAATTAGAAATATACACATCGGTTTGTTGATGGACATACACTTATAATGCTGATGGTGAGGAATGACAGCTGCAACATCTCATAATGTACCTCAAACTGAGTAGTGTATCACTGAGAAACATCCTGCTCAAGTCGTCCTTGCGATGGAGGTTCGATTTGAATAACTAGTTCCTCCAATGTTTCATAATCGGACTCGCGCTCGAATTGAAAAGATCGATGCCATCGATACTGTCTTTACAATTGCTGTCCTGTTACAATATTGTACAAACTGTACAATTGCTGAGGACTGAGGAAGCCTCCTGAGCTGAAATTCAGTTATGGTAATGGGCGTTTAGCTTCCGACAAGCGCTGTAAGCAGTAATCACAACCGACTTGGGCATCTGGAAGAAAATAAATTCTTTAATATATACAATATTGGTTTGTTTTTATTTTTATTTTTGATTTAAAAAGATGTAAAAAAAAAAAAAAAAAAAGTTAATCCAAAAAGATTGTGATAATTTGTCATTTAATCATGTAAAAAACGAGTTCAAAGAGTGTTTTTAGTTTCAACTGACCATAGAAATTTGATTTGTTATTATAAACTTTGTAATCTCTGCCTGACTGACGCTCTTCCACCATCCTGGTGTCAGTATCAAAGTAACAGACCTCTGAACCGTCCCCTTTTTCATCTCACTCTCGACTATTTCTTTGCCCACTTTCCAGTCTTTCTGACCAAGGATGGTATTAGCAGCACTGCATTTGTATTCTAATTTACTACCTATTATGATGACTTTTATCTCTGGAAGCCTGCAAAAGAAAATATGAAGATGTCATTTTCACTTTCAGTTCATATATAAATAATAGACTTTAAAAGTCTGTCAGCTGGTAACTTTTTGTAACAGGCTATTTATTCTAAAATGTCCATAATTACACCTTTAAATGCAGTTCTGAAATATAGTTTGCAGTGGAATCTGTTCACTCTGCTGTTGCTGTTTTCATCAGTCACAGATGCTTTTTATAAGACAGGTTGTTCTAACCAAACAGCATTTCTGTGGTTACTTGGATGTAAGCAACTGATAACATTCCTTCATTATCGTGATACATCTTTACATAGCCCATACATAAATATTGTGCACTTTGATCATTAAATAATATTTATCCTTACAAGTTTCAACCAAATGAAACCTACCGGTACTTTGAAATTGGAAATAAGGAATTCGTATCCAAGAATATATATACATATAAATGCATATAATACATATTATATCTGATAATACCTATTGTCTTTTACTTTTATTTACCCAAACATAACTCAATATATGTCTAATATTATCAAGCTGTAGTGACTGAACTGGGTTACATATGTTTTCATGATTTTGTGACAGACCATCCACAGTAAAAAGTAAATAAATAATGTATTTAAAGAAAAGAAACTTACCATCAGAGCCCTCTTTTACCTCCATCATGTGTTGCAGGCTGTTAGTGTGAATGCTCAAAATAGATCTGGCTGTCTTCTGCCTTTATATTTCTTTTCCTTTCTCGCATTTTTTTTTTTTAGCCATCTCTCACTGTGATGTACATTCGAGTAATGATCTCAAATATTTTATGTTTTTCCTGTGCATGTTTTAAATGCGTCTCTGGACTGGTTAACTTGATGTTCTGGTGTATCAATTTTTCAAAAACTGAGATAGAAAAGACAAGGAATGGAGTTACAAACTTTGTTGCCACATCTTTTCTAAATGTTACTATATAAAGTTTTTTTTTGTAACTGAAACCTAAATGACCCTTGAAGTAATAAAAAGACACCAAATAATAATTTCTTTAGCCTTTTCTCTCAAGTGAGATGTGTTTAAGAACTGTCAGTTTTACTTTATTTCTTAATCAAGGAATGCAGCCTGGCTAAACATTTTCAAATTTCAAGTTCTGTTAGAAGGAAACAGTGAGAAAAAATACATTTGTGATTATAAAAGCTTTAGACTGTCAAAATGCTCAAGAAAAAAAAATTTGTTATAGATATAAACCTTGTCTAAGGCACACATCATATTAAATTGTGACTTTTAATTAATGAAATTCCTTTATTAAACTCTTTTTAAAAAACGTTTTGTTTTATTCAGTTACATTTAATGCAGTTAATAGAATCACCTTAACATGTGATATATGTAAAATATCATATGCTATAAAATACTTAAAAGTAAAGGGCTTGAGAATTATTTTCTGTTTGTTCTTGTGTGCATCTGTATTAGTCTGGCTTACTGTTCTGGCTAATCAACCTCTTTACCCGACATATGTGCACGAATAAACACATTCACTCACTCAAGGTTATTCATAGCAGTTATTTAATAATTTAAAGCAGATACAGATACATCAGGACAACAAAATGGAATGGAATTGAATAAAACAGACAAGATTTAGTATTATGTTTACAAGAAGAATGTTTTTAGTTCACAAATCTATGGCACTTTACAATGTGAACCATGATCATTATAGACATTATGCAAATAAATAAGTTTGTAGATTTTGCAGAATACAATCTCACGCAAAGTTTCCTGGCTTTGTTTTGAATATGAATAATGAAAGATCAAATCATATAAATTTCCAGCACTCTATTGGAGCAAATACAAAATCACATACACACTAGGTTTTCAGTCACAATAATTATGCATAGCCTATATTGTTATATTATTTTGAAGACTTTTGTGTCAGATGATCCACTCACTAAAAATATATTATATAGGGTTCATGTCAAACTTTTTTCAAGGAAAACTCACTCTCATGACTCCCTTTTTTTCTTTTTTTTACTGTCATGACTCATGACGATCCTCTGCCTCCATCGTGCGTCGTAGACTGTCAGTTTGAAGTTTGCTTCAATGTCTTCTTTCTGTCTCTCCTTTTTGCTCACTTTTAATTTCCGCTTTTCTTAGTTCACAGTCTTTCCTTTTTATCCATTAAAAAATAATGAATCTTCAAGCATTTTCTGTCTGTTCTTGTGAATGTACTAAATACGTTTCTGCCATAGACAGTAAAAGAAGGTTTCTGCACTTGATAAACTGGTTTCTCAGCTTCCTGATGAAAATAGCTCCACCCCCGAGTGCTTCGCAAAAGACAAAGATATTTGAATACAAGCATTCTCTGACCCATATTTCTTTATAAATGTGTCTAAATTGAACGCCTTAAAAAAAAAAAAAAAAAACTTTTGAAAACAAAACAAAAAGACCATGTATGTCAGTTTTTGTCTTTTGTCAGGCTTTGGTGTGTATATTTGTGTTGTCAGGACAAAAAGAAACTTGACAAACAAAACGTTTTAGGCCTGTTACAAAAATATATGTTCACTTCATGAATAATATTTATGTGACAAATGTAATAGAACAATTTAGCTGCAAGCAACCATTAAAAAGGTTGAGCACAATGCACATGACTGAGTGGATTGGTTTGGTCAGAGCACTCTGCTGAATTTTAAAGGCTCTGTGTCCATTTATCATTGTTTATATAATAACTTTTAATGAGTAAGTACTGTAGGTCACCAAATGTACATGCTGTTCTATAATAAAATACAGAGACTTTGATAAAAAAATAAATTCTGACATACCTGTCACATGCTTCCAATCTACACATTAATTCACTTCTTAACACTTTAATGTATTGCTTGTTTGTGTCTTCAGTAACTTATGTGTATTACAACAGCTAATTTATAAGAGAATACTTTATTATACTATATCTTGATTTATTCTACATAGATATCAGTGTTGATTAAACAGTCGCAGGTGACATTTATTTGCTTGAATTTCTTTTCCTCACAAATCCCCCATATTGCTTCTGTAAAGAACAGGTCATGTGATGGCTTAGCTGTTCTCTGTGTTGAGAGGTCAGTCAGTCTGGTTAAGAAGACACTGCAGGTTAAGCCAGCTCTTACATGTACATTTTGGCTGTGCTTCTGTATGAAAACATCCTGCTTTCACAAAAGGCTGCAGGACACAAAGGGTAAGTCTATTTTTTCCCCCCAGTTTTTATAGGCTATCCATCATAATGCTAACCATGTAATTGTAACCAACTAATTCAGGTCAGAGGTCCACTGAAGTTGATCTCTTGATTCCAGTTGGATCTGGTATTGTCTGCAGAGAAAACTTTAGGGTCAAATAGGGCAGCTTTGTTATAAATCAAAGGTGAAGTGTCATTTCTCCATTTCTGCCCTCAGCAAAACCAAACAGAATTGCAAAACGAATCACCGATTTCAAACAGTTTCCGAACACTCTTCCATTGCTCTTCAAACAAATCTCATCCCAATCGTTGGGATATTCAACAAACTGCATTGGTCTGATAGTGCCAGTGCTTACACTTTTTGGAGAAATAAACCTAAAGAGTGACTTAACGTTGTCTCAGCGTATAACTTACATAGACAAAATAGAAAAAAAAAAAAAAAAACCTTTTATGTAATATCTTAATGACTTTAATAGAAATTTATAGGAGATTACCTCATTTATCTGGTAGTCAAATAGAACAGCTTTCTAAAAATAGTTGATCAGGAGGCAGATTAACTAAATAGTAAGCTACGGTAATTAGTTTGTGCCAAATGGGCCTGTATAAATCCGTGTGCCATGATTTGACTCATGAGTCACCCAATCATTCCCTTGCTTCTATTTAAGTGGACACTATTAAAATAAGTAAATTATCATAATTAAGTTATTATTAAAATTAATTGTTCACAAATTTACAGCTGCAATGGGCTCCATGGAGGAAGAGCACACATGCCCCATGTGTCGTGACCTGTTTGGTCGAGCTCAACCCTTTCCCTGCGGCCACAGCTTTTGCCCGGCCTGCGCACAAGAGGCATGGAGCCAGAGTGGCAAGCGAAGATTTGTATGCCCACAATGCCTGGAGGAGCAGGGGCTGGTTGTGTGTGACTGTTGTCCGGAAGGCGAGGGTGACGAGGTTCAAGCAGCTGTGAAGACCTGCCTGCGATGTGAGGTCTCTCTGTGTGAGCAGCATCTGCAGCCACATCTGCAACGGCCAGCTTACAGCACTCACCTGTTGGTGGAGCCATTGATGGACGTAACCCGCCGCAGGTGCCCCACCCATTGGGAGGTATTCCGGTATTACTGCATGGATGATAGGGAGTATATCTGCCAAGACTGTATTCTGGAAGGACGGCATGCTCAACACCAGGTCAAAGGGGTGAGAAAAGTGGAGGAGGAATACAAAGTAAGTTATTAGATCTATTGCTTTTTATTTAAAAAAAAATGTAATACTGTCCTGGGACTGTTTACTCTGCACACTGGTTTATTGTCTTTGTAAAATCAGACATCCCACCCTGCAAAAAGTAATTTCCAGGACTTCATATCCCCTACTCAAATAAAAAGAATAATACTACATTATTATATTATATTATATTATATTATATTATATTATATTATATTATATTATATTCTTTTGCATATAAGCTGTGTGACTCGGGTTTGTTTGTTTGTGTGCTGAAAGTAAAGGTGATGTAGGCTAGAGTGTCACGAAATAAGAGGGTCTCGACCATCAGAAAGTGGTCACAGGAGACACATTTGAAACGCATTTTAGCCAGGTGTAAACGGTAATGTGTCTTGTTGAGAAATTGTGATCGGATCACCGAAAACTCATCTTAATAAGAGGAAACAGGGTTTCTCACTCACTCGATTTCTGGGATATTGTGAATAATTTGCAGGCCTCAGCAAGCCGCCATCACTAGCTGTGTCCCAATTCAAAGGCTGCATCCTTCAAAGGCCATGAAGAGTGTTGTTAAATGGGACAGTAGCCTACGGGGGATTGTTCTTGTCGCCTAACTGTGACAGCTGTCATTAATGAGTGGCAGTAATGTTTGTTCTGGACTTTTTGGAAAGTTATATTAAACTATCTGCAAACAAAACAGGGTTCACAAACTGCATATGTTCACCATGGTCCATTTCTGTACATAAGTATAAACTACTGTATAATCGCATCTTAGTAAGATAAGTCAACATTTGAATGGCTTAAAGATTTTTATTTTTACATTTGTATTATTAGATATTTGAGTAAGCTGAAACCCAATACGTACGTTTAAAAGTGTAATTTGGCAATTTCTCTCAAAAAAATCCCGTCGCCACTGGCGCACATTGAATTCTTGGGTAGACAAGGCCGCGAAGGATCCATCTGTTGTATCCTTCATTGCCTCGGACGAAGGACGCATTTAGAGGCAGTATTTGAAGAATCCTTTGAATTGGGACAGCCTTCGTCGCACCGCGGTGACGCAATCGACCTTGGAATGCAGCCTTTGAAGGATGCACCCTCTGACTTCTGAAGCAGCTTATATGCAGGAGACTCCCAGAACTTCTGGGAGAGGTGGGATGTCTATCAAATTGTGTTTTTAACCCCGAAGGTAAGGGCGAGTCACACAGAAGCCAAACCACTCCTCAGTGTGTTAAACAGTTGTCTAGCTACAAACCAATCATAAAAAGGGGCGCCATAATGGGGGAGATTAGGGCCCTCTCCCAAATGGCACACTTATATGCACTTACAGTCTTATGGACCTACAGTGGCCGTTGCGTGATTGTGAAGTCCAAGTAATCAGCAATTGTATGATTCATTCATTCTTTTTTGATGCCAGGTTTGGGTTATGCAAAAAAAAATGTTGTCATGGTCTGTGGACCCCCTGAATTAGCCATGGCCACTCCATGTATAAAACACTTGTTTCCGCCACTGGCGAAACATAACCTGAATACTTAGGATTCATTCGTATAACCCAAGCTACAACCCAAATATTGAACATTGTGAAACATGATAAAAGACAATGAAGGAGTCTGTTAAACCAGGGTTCAATTTTTTTTAAAAGCCCTTCTGTAATATTTTATAGGTCAAATTACAGAGCCTGCTCGAGAAAGCAGAAGAGAAAGTAAAGCAAGGTGAAATAATGCTTCAAGAACATCAAAATGCTTGTGCGTCAATCATTGTAAGTTCAAGCGTCTTTGGTGTCTTATATCAAATAAACAAATTATTACTAACCTGAAGTATAATGATTATAGGTCAGGATTTCATATAGCTGAATGAAGGCATTATGTGTGTTTATTTTAGGAGGACTCCTCTGTGAGTGATGTCTCTCAGGTGTTACAGATGGGCTCAGCCCTGCAGACTCGTGTGGGACGACTAGTGTCGGCTGTAATAAACATCACTGAGCAGGAGAGACAGCAGGCCATGGACAGGGTGCAGGAAGACTGCAGCAGGGTGAGAGAAGATCTAAACCAAACTGAGAGCCTCCACCGCTTCCTCGGCTCCCTGCTGGACGAGAGAGACCCCTTCCTGTTAATCTGGGTATGAGGACATACTTCATAATAAAGGTGATGCAGTGATGATGTGTAGAGGACAACTAAAATTAGGAGCCAAAGTGTCCTCTCCATTTAAATTTTTTCCACCTATTTGATGTTTACATGGTTCCAGGTTAAATGCGCATAAAACCTCATTTACCATACGCTGAGAACAATATAATATGTTTGTATGTTTGTATTATCGTCATTCTATTCAAATAAAGACACATCAAAAGACACATCATTCATCTAATGAAATGCATGTATTTTTTAAAAAAAAAACAATTTTTTTTTACTTCCTTTACATTAAAATAATGAATACAATAATACAGTAAAAGTATTTTGTAATACATCTTTTGTGTAGATTTGATTTCATTATAGAGCTATTGTTAATCATCTTTTATGGTCAACAAATGCCCCTGAGAATGGCATTTACATAGCCATCAAAAATTAGATGACAGAAAGACATGAACGACAGAATTATATAAGAGCATTGTAAGGCTGTTTATAAAACTTTGTTACAGATAAGTTAATTCGTTTATTGCCTTATTAACATTTTTAATATATCCACAGGCTTAGTTATGGCATCATATATCACTTACTCTATAACTCTCTATCACTTACTCTACACTCTACTTTACAGATGTCATTCAGAATAAAAGAGACTAAAATGAGAGATACTTTTGCGATTGTTCATATAGTCCTACTTTTTCACAGGCATACCAGACAGAGGATTCACAGTGAGTGTTTAGATAAACTGTGATTGTTTTAGTGTGTCGTAGAAATATCTTGTGCTTTGTGAATGCAGTTGTATGTTAGTTTTGAATTTTAATAAAATAGAGCAAGTGTGTGTATGGCCTGGTTTCACAAACAGAGTTTAGATTAAGCCAGGATTAGGCCTTAGTTCAATTAGGACATTTAAGTATAGCTTTTATATGCATGCATTAGAAAAAAAATACTGGTGTGCATCTTGAGACAAAACAATGGGACTGGCATATTTTAAGATATGTCAGAGCAAGTTGCTTTCAGTTAAAACAGCTCAAACATGCATTTTAATCTGGGTCTGTGAAGCCGGGGCTAAACGTTTTACTGTATTAGTCACTTTCTTCTTTCTTTGCAGGATGATGGCAGATCTCAACTCCCCTCTGTTCACACCGCCTCAACCCAGCATGGATAAGAAACGTGTATTAGAGAATGTGGAAAATAAATACAGAGAATTTATAGCTGACACTCTGCGCTGCCTAATTGAGCTCAAGAGAGATCTCTGTGCGTATTATCATTCATACAAGTCCATGATGCCCCCATGATTTTTTAAGTAATTTAATTCCAGCTAACCTAAGCATACTCAATATTTTCAGTGTGTTGTAAGTAACAGTTTACAGTAGCATTATTGCTTCATTCGCCTTGTTCAATAGTGCCATCTAGTGGCTACATTTCTAATGCCTGTTTCTCTTTGTTATTTAGTAAGCAGCCCATTAACCTTGGACAAAAACTCAGCCCATCCACTCCTAAATATCTCTGAAGACCTACACTCAGTGATGAGGGTGAAAAAACGTTTGCCTGTCCCTGAGCATCAAGACCGCTTCGACCACTGGTCTCAGGTGGTCTCCTGTCAAATTCTTTCTACAGGAACCCATTATTGGGAGCTGGAGGTGGAGGGTTTCTGGGATATAGCAGTGACTTACCACAGCATTGGGAGAAAAGCAAAAGAGGGCACGGCCTTTGGCTGCAATAAGGTAGATTGTGTGTATTAGGACCCTAATACAGGGGTTTTCTAACTTTTTGATGCCACAGACCCCCAAATATGAAGATCTCCAAGATGATCTCCTTCTTAAAATATAAATGAATTTATGTTCATTCATAATAATTGTGTGCAATTTTAAAATCTCATTATTTATGATCAGTGGATAGAAACCAGATGGAATAATGTCTATTTTTAACACATTTTAATAATTATTAGGCTATCTAATTTTTTTTTTAATTTATAGGTTGTTTGATTCATCGTGATATTTTTTTTCTCTGAAAATGTATCTTAATTCAAATTATATACACATTAAACTTGTTTATAAGCATCTAATGTCAATGTTAGTTGATTTTCTGTTATCTTGCTCAGATATCCTGGAGCCTGACACAGCAGCGTGACAGGAAACTTGCTGCCTGGCATAACCGAAAGAAAACCCAACTCTCCGTAAAAATGTCAGGCAACCATTTGGCAGTGGCTCTGGACTATAATTCTGGCTCCATCACCTTTTCAGAAGTAGGGTCGGCTTCCACCCTGCTCCCCTTGCACAATTTCAGCACCAGCTTCACCCAGCCCGTCTGCCTGGGCTTTGGCCTCTACAAACCAGAGCTGAACAGCAGGGTCACCGTCCTCAAGAAAATATGACTGCATTTAGCCTACCTCTCGAATTTGGGTGAAGATGGGAACTGTTTATTTTATAAAGAGTTTATTTCTTGATGGATATATCATGGTCTGGTTGAAAAGGTAGACTTTATTTTTCCAAGTTTTAGTTTTTCATTTTCTTTTATAATTAAAGTCTTGATGTTGAAAAAACCTAGTCTAATCTTTTATAACTGCGGTTTTTCATATGTTTTCACTCATATTTTCAGGGGAACGGAGATCCAGTGCATCTTTCTCCATTTGACAGCTATTCAAAATTAGCAACATATAAATCTCTAATATTTACTTCTAGTATAATATAGGCTAGATATTTTTGGCCGTGAGCGCACGTGTTCATCGGTTCGTCTAGTGGACGTTGTTTTCAAGCGCTTGCACATGCGCTGTTCAGTGCTGGGTAGATTACTTGTTACTGATAACAAATTACATGACGAAAATTGTAGTTAATAGTAACATAATCTAGATTACTCATTTTAGGTAATGTATTCTGACAACTTTTAGGGGCCATTTACACGACACCGTTTTAAACTAAAAACTGAAAACTTGTTAAACGTTTTGACCGTTCATTTTCACGACGTGTTTTGGGAGCCTGAAAATGCAAACTTTTGAAAACGGGTTGTTTCACAGTGCAAGTTTTTGAAAACAATACCATTATTGTCTCTGTGTAAACTACAAAAACGCGAATTTGTGAAAACGGTGACGTCAAGCACATCGTTTTTCTTTACAAAGTGACATCGCCATCTACTGTCCTGGCATGCATAATACAGCGTGGGTTTGTGATTAAGTCCATTTTGTGGTGCCATCAGCCAATCAGCACTGTCAGATGTAATTTACAGTTCATATCATATGATTGGCTCAAAAAGTTATGTGCTCCCATGAGCAAAGATGACACGTTTTAAATTATGTACTTCCAAGTTGTCCTGCGCCCGCTGATAAACTGCCATTGAGATGAAAGGTAATGCTAACTTAGCTTTCTCCTAGTATTATTGACCTCATCGTTGGCAGTCCTTCCTTATGATCCGATCAACAACTAAATTCAGGCATTCTAATCATTGCTTTCTGAAGCAGTGCACCCATGAAATACTTTGTTTTTAAAATGCACGCACAATTTAACAAAATGTACGCACATTCTTATTTTATTCATTGGTTTCATTTGTTGTGATACATTTTCAAAAAATAAAAAAATTACAATGTATATTTGTGAAATCTGAAAGTTATTCTGTTTTTTTTTTTATTCCATATTTTCTTTTATTATATTAACCTTTGTGCCCTTTGATGTTCATGATAAAAGTGGATCAATCATGTTTTGTGGGACAATGGGTCATGTTATGGTTCCTGTTTTCTGCTGACTGTTGGCTATCATTTACAAATGCCAGTTTGGCCATTCTGTTTACATCAAAGAATATTACATGGATGGGATTATTAGAAAGTGAGAGAGGGAGAGAGAGCGAGGTGAAGCTGGTGGAGTGGGTGGGAAGGGGAGGGTCTTGAGAGACAGGATGAGTAGGAAGATCTGTCAGATTCAGTGTTTCTCTACAGAAGCTTTGACACCTCGCATCATTACACCTGGGAAACCGAGGAACAGCCCACTAAATCAGGTGATTTTGCTATTTTTTTCCTATTACAAGAGCTTATGAAAAACTTAATTTCATCGTGTGTTACTCCATAGGAAAGAGGCTTTAGTAAAAGATTGTTTAGCACACAGACACACACACACACACACAAATCATTTTCTTATGTATTCTGACTTGTTTTCCTGTCAAATATCTAAACAGCCTTTAGGCGCCTTTAGTAAAAGATAGTTTAGCTGACACACACGAAGAAAATCATTTTCTTATGTATTCTGACTTGTTTTCCTGTCAAATGTCTAAACAGCCTTGAAACCTCAAACCTCAGTATATTTTATTAGATTTATGCTTTAACAAATACAAACTATTTGCCAAGAAAGTAAGAAATCAAAAAAAAATTATAATAATTTAAGTCCGATCTTACACATTATTATTCTTATCATCTTTTGCTTCTCAAGTAAATTGTTCTTTTTAAGGATATTTACATATTTTTACATGAAAACAAGGCAAAAATGTTGAAGTAATTATTATTTTGGATTAACGCTCTAAAAAGGAATTGGGTGAGTGAAGTTTTCTGAAGAAAATAAAGCTGCTGGCTTGTAAAAGAGGACATCACTGCACTGAGCAGAATTAGTTCTTATTGAAAGTGCACAAACACTGCGGTTTCACTCAAGACCAGACGCAAAGAAAGTTGACCTTTGTAAATGTCACTGCTTCATAAAGACTATAAACATGTCTTGAATAGTAAGTTAATGAGGTGAGTGGTGCCAATTAAGACCTGATATAGATGTACTATACCTTAATATTCCAAAATGTACATTCTTTGGTTTCAGGACTTGCATATTATTGTTGCCGTTGCGTGCCAAAACACAGAGGAGAGAGATAGGGTTCAGCTAATACGCATAAGCAAAGGAGGGAAGGATAGAAGATCTGTGGGGGGGGGAGGAGGTCCTGCATGTTGTGGAACGTCAGGAGGGAAGTGAGAGCGTGTTAAAGACAGATGGTCTCTCAGTGGAGTTGTTCTTTTTTCTCTCTCTTGTTCTCACTCTCTCCTGGACGCTATACTCCCCTCAGCTGAAAGAGATCCAAAGTGTTACCTCATGATCTTCATCATTCACTGCTCCTCTTCCTCCTCCCCCATACACACAAGCATACCTGTTGGCTTGCAGAGCTCCTCTGACTCCTTCTCTCTCTCTCTCTCTTTCTCTCTCTCTCTCTCTCTCTCTCTCTCTCTCTCTCTCTCTCTCTCTCTCTCTCTCTCTCTCTCTCTCTCTCTCTCTCTCTGTCTGTCTTCTCACAGGTTGGCTATGATGATGGATTCTTTTTTGGGGATGATGAGAAACCTCTAAGTGTCCTTGTCTTTGATCCCCTGCAGGCAATTAACAAGATAGCACAGAAGTAGATCTTCATCAGGAAACTGTGACAGACAGGAGGGTGACTGCAAAATAGAGAGAAAGAGTGAGGGTGAAAGACAGAGCCAAGGATTTAAAGATAACTTTTAAAATAGCTCATAACATCTCAGTGTTTCCAGGATCCTTCACTTATCTCTCCCCAGTTTCCTGCAGACGACATACCTGACCAAATCGCAGGGAGCATTTGCACCTAATTTCATCTGAAATATTGCGAGGAAATTATAATAAGACAATGCTGCCCTGCTCTGGGCTGCCAATGCCAATACTAGCTCTACTTCTGCTAGTCGGCCCTCTAGTGGTCAGAGGGCAAAATGACACGGAGCCCATAGTACTGGAGGGTAAATGCCTGGTGGTCTGTGACTCAACACCCTCCTCAGAACCAGCAGGTAATGCGCTGGGGATGTCTGTGCGTTCAGGTACCGGCCGTGTGGCCTTTTCTGCCACACGCCAAACCAACCATGAGCCCACAGATATGAGCAACCGCACCATGATCATCTATTTTGACCAGGTAAGCAATCTTTTCACATAAAAAAAAATACACTTATGTATTTTTGCTCTTTTTAATCAGTCAGTTTTTGTCAGATCTTGGTGAACGTTGGCAGTCATTTTGACCAAGAAAGCAGTATCTTCCTTGCTCCGAGACGAGGGGTGTACAGCTTCAATTTCCATGTGGTGAAGGCATACAACAGACAAACCATACAGGTACGTTCACTCTTTAAATAAAGGTTCTTTATAGGCATATATGGTTCCATGGGACCTTTACATTCCTTTATAGTGAGAATGGGTTCACTTTATATTCTAATGTTCTCCACACTGAGAAATTTTGTTGTTGTTGTTTTTTAAAGAAATGCTCACTGAAAGGTACTTTGAGGAACCAAAATGGTTCTTCGATGCCGAAACCCCCTTTTGGAACCTTTATTTTTAAGGGTGTATAGACACATAGCAACTGTATTTCATGAGTAATTAATACAAAGAATTGACAGTGTTTTCCATTCACAGGTGAGTTTGATGTTGAATGGATGGGCGATGATCTCAGCCTTTGCTGGAGACCAGGATGTGACACGGGAGGCAGCCACAAATGCAGGGCTTGTGATCATGGAGCGAGGGGACAAGGCTTACCTCAAGCTAGAAAGGGGTAACTTAATGGGAGGCTGGAAGTACTCTACTTTTTCAGGCTTCCTGGTATTCCCCTTGTGAAGGACGTCCGTGTGGGGAAGAGAAGAGGTGGGAGACGAGAAAGAGAGAGGGTGACATGCTCTCTGAGGATTTATGAATGCCATAGAAAAGATCATGTTTGTTCTTCTCTTTCATTTAACTGGTGTCAGAGCAGAGAAAATGCATAACATGGAAAGTTAACTATATGAAATATTATTTATATTGTATCATTTATATTGTTTAGAAATATTGTTAAATATTATTATAATATAAATAATATTAAAATTAAATATCATTGAGATGAAGATTTGAAAAAAAAAGTTTCTAAAATTAGTTTTAATGTTTTTTTATAATGTATTTCAGATAATATGCTCATGTGTATGGTTAAACTGAAAACTGTCACTAGGGGAAGATACAATGTGACTGTCCTAATAATATTTTTGAAATTATGTATTTAAATTTTTTGACTAAAATTCAATTTCTAAAATCACTTTTAATGAAACGAATAATTAAAATATAGCTGTTTCTCATGTCTATGTTTGCCTGCTTATGGAGCTGTGTGTGTATATTATAAAGATTTGTAAAGATAAATCTCATTAAATTGACTCCCTTAACTAAAAATACACATATTTTGTGTGAAATGTAATATGTCCTCAACCTGTGTTCCTTCTCTAAGTGAGGTATTTTAACTGTAACAACAGCTGTTTGTAAATATAGCTCTCAGCATCAGAGCTGGCATGGTTTACCAGATAGCAGCATAGGCATAATGGATAACGGATACGAACTACAGTGGCACTGGTCGAGCAAGGCAGATGGAGTTTTTGGCAAGCAGAAGTGCAAGTGTACACTGGACTCCTATGGACTATGCAGGGTGGGCTGTCACAATCAATAAGTTACGCTGCATTGGTTTAAAGACACACTTATTCACATACAGAATAAGGAAAGAAAGAGAGCATGCAAATGATAAGGAGAGGGAGAAAAGTAAACTGAAAGAAAGGAATGAATCACTGATGTTAATTCAATAGTAATTTATTTTTCTAACCTGTCTGTGAGCATTTATTTTTGTATGAAAGGCCACACCATGACAAGAAATTATGGTAAAAAGATGTTAAAAATGTATGTGGATGTAAGTTATTTATGATTAATTTGTCTTAGCACATGTTTACACCTATTTATTTTTCATATAAATTTTAGTTCTAATCACTAGAATTAATCATTTTAATATTATTGAAAGTGTTTTTACATCATCCATAAAGCCTGCTGTTTGAGATTTATATAGATGTAAGTTATTTATCAACACGTGTAATTTAGTGCAGTGTAAAATTAATAAATGCATTATATATGTATTTTTATATATTTTTTTTGTTTTAATCAAAATAATGAATAATGCAAATAATATTGAAAGTGTTTTAACATCATCTTGAGTGTCTTGTGGTGGCATTTTAATTATAGGCTATCTTTATTTATAATATGTTTTCATGTTAAAATCGATAGATATCTCTGATAAAACAGCCCTAAACCCATCAACTAAATTTTTACATATTTTTGTATCCATCTAAGACAAATTAATGATATGCTATACTATAGCATCACAAGCTTGGGACATTTGGATAGATGTGGAAAAATACGATTTCTTAACGTAAAATTGTTTCCCCCCCCCCCCCCCCCCCCTAAATAATAGTCATTAAGAATTTTACATTTTAAATTTTTAAATTCTAACAAGCGAGCATCTCAAACCCGGTGATAACAAGTAGGCCGCATTTAGTGCAGCCTCAACCAAACTACCCGTACGACCGATACCCATTAATGTCTCCCGCCCTGTAATTCCGCACACTGGAATGACAGACATTTTGTTCCACCAATGGAATGTTTACCTTTTGACAGCCCTTCTGATGATGGGCCAATCAGCGAATAGCAGATGAGATGGGGGGCTGCGCGTTCAACCTAGCGCTGGCAAGAAGTTAGTTCCTGCTCTACGCTGGCCGTTTCCTGTAATCGTACAGTGTTGTGAGACGGAGAAAGCCATGTGTGTCGATGCAAAGGTAAATTTAGCACCCCGAAATTATTGCGGGGAAAGTTGGGGCAGTGGATGGCAGCGTTATTAGGGCATATTTTAGTTGAAAATACGCCCTAGCCAAGTCGAAACAGCTTTGCGGCCTTGTCCATGTCTGTTCGTAGTCAGGCTATGGTTTTTGTAGCACGTTGCCTTTGGTTTGGTCCGGTTTGTTGATGAGAGAGATTGAGAGTCCGAACGAGAGACTGTGAGATGTATTATGAATGATGGAGGGTCACTGATACAGCTTACATTTGCCGTCAGAGAAAAACCAAATGATCGAGCACATATTTAGCATTTATAGCAATAGGAATCGCCATTGTGAACATTGATGGGGTTTGTCGAGTGTCTGGTTTAGGTCTGTTGTTCCACATTGATGGCAAGTCAAGAAAGACCGTATTAATTTATTTGATCTAAACATCAAGTATATGATTTGCGATTGACTTTAAAGAACATGATATTAGAGACAATACTCATTTGCACTCTTTGACTTTTAAAAACAACGGTATGATACTTGTTAAGTGACATACAGATCAGTCAGACATGATAGCATGTGAAGTGATGGCACTGATATTCCATAAGATGCAGCAACTATTTAGTGTAAATGGTTTAATTAATGTGTTTTCCTATCCTATGTTTTCTTGTTTTCTCAAGAGCATCAATACACACATTTATTGATGGATCTCTTAGTGTTCACTCCAACCAAAGAAGCAAAAAGTAATTCAAGAGAGTAGGAGAGGATAGAGGGGAGGAAGAGAGAGAGAGTGAAGGAGGGTAAACCGGTGGACTCTCTTTTCCTGTTCCTCACTCCCTGATCATTAATTTCAGGTAAGTTTACCTGTCATACTGCAGAATTCAGTATATTGAAATTTACATATAAGGTATGATGGCTGTTTGCATTACTGATAAATTTGACAAGCTAGAAGTGTTATGATATATACATGTGAATATATATATATATATATATATATATATATATATATATATATATATATATATATATACAATTTAATTTATTATATTCTTTTGATAATTAAGGCCAATTATTACATTCGATGCTTGCTGCATAAATGTAATCCAGTAACTGGCCTTATGTAAATAATTAAAAAATAAACTTGATGAAGATTTATCTCTTCCTTTCTTCAACAGCATACCTACAGAATCTCTTCGGACTTGTTGGATGTTTTTGTACGGACACTGGATATCACACATTCTTTGCTTTTTTTCACAAACTATTTAACAATATGGCAGACCCTATTATGGACCTCTTTGATGACACACCACTGTTCAATTTGGATTCCCTGCCTGAGGATGCGTTCTCCCAGGGCTCCTCAGACCCAGTTGAGGAGGCGCTAAAGTTGGCACTGGGCCAAGTGGACCCACCTATGGACCCCACACCGGATCTTGGTGTCCCTGTGCTCAGTGATGTTGTCACAGTTCCTACACCTGTCGCAACTCCTGTTTCCGTCCCTCTGCAGACCCTTCCAACACAGCAGCCCACCCAGATGTCGCATGAAGTCTCTCTTAACCCGGCTCAGATTTCAGTTCAGCCCTCTCTCTCGGTGGCCAGTAACAGCAGTGGTGCGGCAACGGTCCTGCTGAGCTCCCCCCTTGGAGTACCTGTGTCAGGGGCTCAAGTCGCTACCCAGCAGCTGCACACTCAGCAAATCGCTGCGGTTACGCAACAGGCGGCAGGGCAGTCTGCTCCAAAAATTGTAATTCTGAAAGGCCCTCAGGGTCAGACTCAAGTGCTGCAGGGTGTCACAGGAGCCACAGGCTCTCCAGGTAAATTCACTCTCTCTCGAGTTCTGACAGGGACCCCTCTTAGGCCAGGGATGACAGTTGTTTCTGGGGGGACAGTATTAAATGCCACATCTCCTGGTCAGGGGCAGGTCAAAGTGGGCACTGGAGTGCAAAGACTTGTTCAGACTTCAAATGGCCCGATGAAGCAGGTGTTACTGACCTCAATGCCCCAGACCCAATCGCAGGTGCAGTCACCATCACAGTCAGCACAGATTCAGGCGCAGGTGCAGCCTCAGACACAGATGGCATTACAAACCCCAGTACAAACACAGACCCAAGCGTCAACCGTTACATCCCCTGGAACGACAGCAGCGGCCGTCCGACCTCAAGGTGTCACCCTTTCAGCAGTGCCACAGCAGGTCAGTCTCTGCCAGGGTTATTATTAAATAGTATATCAATGATACTGTAATAACACTGGTCTTTGCACTCTTTATAGCTTTTCCTCTTGTTTTTTTGCTTTCAGAATCCTAATAGCTATTTCTCTATTCAGGGTGAAGCAAAGAGGATCACTCTGGTGCTACAGCAGCCCTCGCAAGGTGGAGCTGGCCAGACTGGGATGGTGACATTAGGGGGAACCTCAGCTGCAGGGGTGGGTCAGCAGGGCCAGCAGCACAGGCTGGTGTTGGGTTCTCTGCCAGGGAAGTTGGTCCTGCAGGGAGGCCAGCTGGCAGCTCTCGCCCAAGCTAAGGCGGGTCAAACGGGTGCACAGCCGAAAGTCCTCACTATTCAGCTGCAAGTTCAACAGCAGCCCAACCAACAGGGAGCCAAGGTGAGTAAAAGGACAAGTTATGTGTGTTGGAAGATGTAATTTCCCTTGTAACTTGGTGGTGATGGGAAGTTTGTTTTGTATTTGCAACAGTTTCAATTGGTTTCTGGGGCAGCTAATATTGGTGGCAGCCCTCAGGTGGTGCAGATTTCTCAAGGCCAAGGAGGACAAAGACTAGCAGTACCTCTTAAACTACTGCTGCAGCCACAGGTAGGACATTTCCTCACGTCTGTTTTATGCCACTGTGATGTTCTTTCATGCTATTATTTGTGTACCACTTGGAATCTGAAGAATATGAAGTATTATTTTAAAGTTATTCAAAAATGTTTGATATTTTGTATACAGTTTTTTTAAATCAATGTTTGGGGTTCCATTTTCTCATAATGATTCTGATTCCTTAATGGCTCAACGTTGTTTTTAGTACCCTGAAGTAAAAAGGTTTGGTTAAAGAAAATGCAATTGCCAAATGAATTTATTTCTTGCGAAAGGGACATTTACACAGACTTTTAAAAGAAACTTTTTAAGAATGATTTTTAATAATTAAAGCCAGTTGTTTGATTGCATTGTTGCTGCATAAATGTAATAACTGGCATTATGTAAATACTTAAAATCTACGTAAAAAAAATACTAAAACAAAAAGGTGCTGTAACATTTAAATATTATTTTTTTTACAGTACTACTGACAAAATGCATAATGTGTATTTTGTTGTCATATGAACAATCAGCCAGTAATTAGACAGATTTAAGTATTGTTCTTAGTTGTAACTGTATGTAACTCAGTCATTGTCCTATTAGAGTAATTTCTTTATTTTATTTATGGAACCCATTCTGAATAAGAAATGATACTCTGTTTCATACAATTTTGTTGAGATGCTAGCAAAATACAGTGCTTGAAATAAAAGATCACCTTTTCCCTGCAGTCAAACACTGTTTCCAGTGCTGGTGGAGCTGTTTCTGTGGTTAAAGTTATCAATACCTCAGCTGGCGGCTCTGCGTCCTGCACCACCACTACAGCTGCGTCTTCCGGTGTGCGTTTGGTGAAGGCCCAGGAGCCCGTGCGGAAAGTAGAAACCCTGTGCAAGCAGGAGAAAGCAAATCGCATTGTTGCTGAGGCCATCGCACGAGCCAAAGCCAGAGGCGAAAGGAACATCCCCCGTGTGCTCAACCAGGACGAACTGCCTGCCGGACAGACCTCAGCAGACCTAGAGGGCGTTGCAGGGGCTGCTGGAGCAAAAAAGAAAGGTGGTGGTGGTAGTAGTGGAGGGAGCAAGAAGAAAAGCCCAAGTGTGGGAGGAGGGAAAGTGGTGGTGGGAGGAGACAAGAAATCCAAGGCGAAGACTCCAGGAGTGGTTGCTGGAGGTGGAGGCAGTAAAAGTAAATCCAAGACTAAGCTCAAGTAAGTTGAGATTTTTTTTATCCTCCCTAGAAGAGTTTGACTCATTGATGTATTTGCCTCTGCCTGTTTTGTTCTTACACTTTATTCCCTCTCTAAAGCACCATTACGCTAGTGGGTGGTAAGAAAAGGAAAAGAAATCCATCCTCTGACCACTCAGATGTAGATCTAAGCCCACCTGTTTCGCCTCGCACACTGGAGGAAGAAATGTCACAGGTATTACTTACACATTTACCTATTACTGTCATATAGGAGCCATATTAAGCCACTGAAGTGTTGTACATGTGGGCAGGTGTTAGAAGTGCAGTATGTGACATTGAATTTTGAATATAGAGCATCAAATCAATGCCATAAACAGAATTTGTTGACTCTACTGTGATTCTGTTCTCCCAACAGAAGCGGCGTTCTAACCGTCAGGTGAAGCGGAAGAAGTACACAGAGGATTTGGACATTAAAATCACAGATGATGAAGACGAAATGGATGCAGACGTTGATGTGACCACAACTCCTGTGTCTGCTCCAGGGCATGTCCAGTCCATGGGAGTGGAACTACAGCAGGAGCTGGATGGAGACGGTCTTCCAAGCATGCAGTTTTTTGTGGTGCGTCAGCACACAGCCATCTTTTTCCTTTTCATAACTGGTTTTGTCAGAATTTTTCAGCTGTTTACAGTTTGGCACATTGCCACCAGTCATAATAAAAGAATGCTTATATGTATGTATCTTTGGTAGGACTATTCTCTTTATCTTCATTTGTGTGGGCATGTTTCTGATTTGTGTTTCAGGAGAATCCAAGTGAGGAGGATGCTGCTATTGTGGATAAAATATTGTCTATGCGACTGGCCAAAAAGGAGGTAAGTGTCTGTTTCTCACTGCCATTCACAAAAATCTTGTGAAATCTTGTTCTAGTATATTCTGACTAAACCTTCATGGTATTTTCTTGTCCTGATGCAGGTGTCTCCAGGGCAGTATACTAATGTGGAGGAATTTTTTGTCAAATATAAAAACTAGTAAGTCATCAACTGTTTTCTCAACCCTTATTTGTGGAAATGTCATTTTTATCCCTTGAAAATATTGTAATGTTTTTCTAGCTCATACATGCACTGTGAATGGGCCAGTCTTGAGCAGCTGGAGAGAGACAAGAGGATCCATCAAAAGATGAAACGATTCAAGACAAAACATGCACAAATGAGGAACCTATTCCAAGAGGTGAGGCCCTATAAAGTTGAAATTGGGCAAATATTCCTATGTTTGGTTGGTAGTATAAGTCATATGGCTTTAGAAAATCTCACTAATTTTGAGGATAATTTACAAGTGTATCTGGAACTCTTTCCTGTGTTTTAGGAGGAGGAACCTTTCAATCCAGACTATGTAGAGGTTGATCGAATTTTGGATGAGTCACATAGTGTTGATAAAGACAATGGGGAGGTAAGGATTTATCGACCACAGACCCAATTTTCAAATGTCAGATGAGAAACTTGCTTATTCAAACCGATAATGCATGAGTGTGTGAGTCTGTTTGACTCATTCATTAAAGTCATTTATTCTTGAATCAGACTACACTGGTCTACTGTGCATAGCCAGCAAAGACCGTGTGATTTTAGTGTGTTTTGTTTGTTTCTTTGTCTTTCGTATCTAATCATATATAATTCAAACTGCACAAATATGACTGCCAAAAACACTGTTTTCCTTTTGCAGCCGGTTGTGTACTACCTGGTGAAGTGGTGCTCTCTGCCCTATGAAGATGCTACTTGGGAGCTAAAGGAGGATGTTGATGAGGGCAAAGTGGAAGAATTCAGGAAGATTGAAAGTCGCCAGCCCAGACTCAAGAGAACTGTGAGAGACAGTCTTGAAACTCAATCATTGCATACTGTTTTATCTACCTCTTCCTCTTTCTTCTCAGTGCCTGGTCACCAGAGCGTTTTCACCCTGTCTGTATTCTTTAGTTTTCATTAAGAAACAGATGAGACAGTGGTGAATTATTAACAAGACTTCCTCTTCCATCAGCCTCGACCTGCTGCAAGTGCCTGGAAGAAGCTTGATGAGTGCAGAGAGTATAAGAATGGAAACCAGCTCAGAGAGTACCAGCTGGAGGGAGTTAACTGGCTGCTCTTTAACTGGTACAACAGGTAAATACCCTGCTGATACACTAAGAAGAGATACAATTTAGATTATCAACAAAAAAGGGTGTTTTAAAGACATCCACACCTTTAAAAAAAGTTTTAACCTTCCATGCATTTTGAAGAACCTTCCACACTGGTGAATGTTTAAAGATCCCTTCAATTTTTAGTTTTGTTCCTTTTAGCTCTGATAAATCTTTAGGCTTATGTAATCCTAGTTGACAAAATAAACACGCATACGGCTTCTTAAATTTGCAAGCTTTCTCTTCCAGAAAAATGAACAAAAAATATTGATTCATTCCCTAGTCAGGGGAACATTTTCATTTGTTCATTTAGCTGACGCTTTTATCCAAAGCGACTTACAATTGCTATATTTCAGAGGTTGCACGCCTCTGGAGCAATTAGAGGTTAAGTGTCTTGCTCAGGGACACAATGGTGTCTCACAGTGGATTCGAACCCGGGTCTCTCACACCAAGGGCATGTGTCTTATCCACTGCACCATCACCACCCCCTAATACATAAAAATGCTTTCTAGAATGAGATTTTCCCCTCCCACTCAATTATAAATACCACCTGCTACTGATCAAATGATACAGCAGTGAGCAGACAGTAGCTCTGAGATACAAAACCAAAGTAAATAATTTGACAGCATACTATTTGGACACATCAACAGCCTCCTGATGAGGATCGTGGGCGTCCTTATCAGAACATTCACCCTGGGATCCTTGTTTGAATTATGGCCTTACTTAGGGGTGTGCGATATCACGGTTTTTGATCGTGGACGATTAAAATGTCTCCACGATCTGCTTTTGAAGAAATATCGTAGTATCGTGCATTTTATCAGTTGCAGTTCTGGGGCCTAGCTCCATCTCAACATACAACAAATGTTAACGCAGAGGAACGGGACACTGCAGTTCACAGAAGTTCATTATTTGCATGTGCTTTAAAGCCTTGCTGGTTAAACATGTAATTCACGTGCTGATGCGCTGTTCTGACGTGTGCTTTCTGAGCGCATACACCGGAAGCACACGGGCACTAAAAGCCTGTCTAACAGCGTCTGTTTACTGGACTACGTTATTAGTTATCTTTCGAGTCTTATTGCGCTAATATTGTCAAATACACACAAGGTTTACATTAATAAAGTTGGTTATGTCTAAAGTGAAAGCAAACAGAAAAAAAATGAGAGAAAATCGGCTTGTCAAATGCGTGTATATTAGACGCGTCGCGTGCAGCTCTTAAAGCGACAGTAGCCAGTTAGTAAACAAGCTGCCTCTTGTCCTTAAAGAGATAGTTCACCCAAAAATAAAAATTCTGTCATTATTTACTCACTCTAATGTTGTTCCAAACCTGTATTAATTTCTTTCTTCTGTTGAAAATAAAAGTTATTTGGAAGAATGTGGCTAACCAAACAGTTGCTGGTCCCCAGACTTCCATAGTAGGAAAACATACTATGGAAGTCACTGGAGTACAGCAACTGTTTGGTTAGCCCAATTCTTCCAAATAACTTTTATTTTCAACAGAAGAAAGAAACTTATTCGGGTTTAAAACAACTTGAGAGAGTAAATGATGACAATTAAAATGTTTGGGAGAACTATCCCTTTAATGTTAATAAAACAACAAAACACAAAGAGGAAATCACTCACTGCTCTTGACTGAGAACTTTAGTAGTAGCTTTAATAATAATCAATGTATAATTCATACAGTGAAGTCTATGTTGTGTTTTATTTTCGTATTTGTTCATTTAGCCTAATTACTTTTTTCAATGCTACTGTTAAATACCCCTACTGTAGCTGAAAAAATAAAGCACTGTTTATTTCATTTGTATATTAAGTTGTGTATGCTTAATGTGTATCTTTGTTCCTAATTCTTAATAACAAAGAAAATAATGATAAAGATTTTTATCTTCGCTACTTTGGCCTAAATGTCTGCCATTCTTTTTTTCTTTTGTTACCTATAAGGCTTTTTTTTAAATAGGGACATTAGTTTGGCTGTAATACTCAGTCACTTGCAAAATAGTAAAACCAACATGAAAAAGAATCGTGATAAAATCGTTAATCGTGATTTTCCTGAAAAAAATCGTGATATGATATTTTTTCCATATCGCCCACCCCTAGCCTTACTCAAATGATAAATGCAGGCTCATTTCTTCTTTATTACCATCTGATTCTGGCAGGACTGCAGGCATAGGTGTAGATAGTGCTGAGAAATGCACCACATTTGTTTATTAAGTATCTTAATTGAATTTGTCCATAGTACAATCTATTGTTGTCACCCAAATTGTATTCATCAAACAATTTCATGGTCAAAAATAGTTATTTCAGTGCTGAGATTGAATGGTTTGTCAAAACGGTAGACTAGAACTGTTTTTATTTATTTTATAAAAAATTTTGGGAGAAAATGTTTGTTCAATTCTCTCACCCTCTTTTCTGTATTCATTTCCCACACAGGCAAAACTGCATTCTGGCAGATGAGATGGGTCTGGGGAAGACTATTCAGTCCATAGCCCTGTTATCAGAGGAGTATGCTACAGGGGTCCAGGGGCCATTTCTTATCATTGCCCCTCTTTCCACTATCACAAACTGGGAAAGAGAGTTTTCCACTTGGACTGACATGAATGCTATAGTTTACCACGGCAGTCTGGCCAGTAGACAGATGATCCAGCAGTATGAAATGTACTGCAAAGATGACAAGGTTGTTATAGATGCATTCTGTGTTTCTTTCTCATCAGTTTCATCATTACTAAGCAGGAGTGTTGTTAATTTTAACTAGTAGTACTAGAAGTACTAAAATGGCTAAAACCGAAATAAAAATGAAAAAAGCACACAATAATATAAAACTAACTGAAATCTACAAATAAATACTATAGTAATAAATAAATGATACTAAAATAAAACTGCTGAGCAGAAAGTTAAATTTGTTGGATGTTGAAAGGTTGTTTATACTAGTAGGATATTTTGATAGCCCCATTCTAACTTCCTCTCTCCCTCGTGCTCTTTTCTGTCTTCTCTAGGGACACTTTATACCAGGGGCCTATAGGTTTGATGCTCTGATCACAACCTTTGAGATGATTTTATCAGACTGCCCAGAGCTGAGAGAAATTTCTTGGCGCTGCGTAATTATTGATGAAGCTCATCGTTTGAAGAACAGAAACTGCAAACTTCTCGACAGCCTCAAGATGCTTGACCTTGTAAGAGTTTTAACACCTTTCATTTTTTGCCCTCCTTAAAAGAAACGAAAATATTTGTTAGTTACAAAAAAAGGGGGTTAAGCGACGCGTGATTAATTAACAGCTCTCTCTTTCATAGGCGTCATTTACGGGGGGGACGGGTGGGACATGTCCCCACCACTTTTTGCCAGGGTCGATATTGTCCCCACCACTTTTGAAACATCTCGCGTCACGGATGTACCAATACAAATAAAAAATCTCTAGTTAACTAGCAGCATTCGTTTAATTCATTTGTTAAATAAGAGGCGATCTAGCGCTGAAATGTGTTGTCTTCACTCGGACGCGCGCTTCAATCCGTTGCAGAGATTCTATTCGTTCCAGAGAAATCACAATTCAAAATGCACACAAACGTGTCCCTGCTTCTGAGGGTTCTAATCCGCACTCGTATAGTTTTTTTTCCCCCTCATCAAAACCGATAATGTTTATCAGTGATAAAGTAGCCTATATCAAGATTCTTGATATACAATTATCGGTTTTGATGTGGGGAAAAAAACTATACGAGTGCGGATTAGAACCCTCAACCTCCGACACGCTTGGCAAAAATTCTGCCACTGGACCATTACAGTACATACGCATCGCAGGCGGATCTATATATATATATTCACGTAAAAATTCACGATACTAACAACATTATATTAGATCTTAATATAATATTAAATTTAAACCCAAAGTACCATCACATTTTTGGTCGGACATCATCACATCTTTGTATACATTTTTATTTATTTAAATCAGTAAGCTACAGGACATCGGCGTCTTTCAAACCATGACCTGCGCGAAAGAGAAAAAAGAATGAACGCGTCATTGTACCCAGCACTTTTGAAAATGCCCTTCCGAATGCGTCTCTGTCCCCCCCACATTTCAAACCAAACTGACGCCCATGCTCTCTTTATTCCCTTTTCAGGAGCATAAAGTGTTGCTGACAGGCACTCCACTTCAAAACACAGTAGAGGAGCTGTTCAGTCTGTTGCACTTTCTGGAACCAGCCCAGTTTCCCTCTGAGATAGAGTTTTTGCGCGAGTTTGGAGATCTTAAAACTGAGGAGCAGGTAGAGAAACGCTGTGATTTCTATTTATTTATAAAAGAAAATTGGCAGGTAACATTTCCTCTTTTGAAACTGTTAGCAGTTCTCAACATTCTATCACCGTCTGTGATTATCAGGTCCAGAAACTGCAGTCAATTCTGAAGCCCATGATGCTGCGTAGACTGAAAGAAGACGTAGAAAAGAACCTCGCCCCAAAACAAGAAACCATTATTGAGGTATGATTGAGCAACTGTACTGTTTCAATTTGTTTAATTCTCTCTGCATTTGTAAGTTCTGAATGCATCAATTTCTCTGGTCCCCAGGTGGAGTTGACTGATGTACAGAAGAAGTATTACCGAGCTATTTTAGAGCGTAACTTCAGCTTCCTTAGCATGGGAGCCACACACAACAGCAATGTACCGAATCTCCTCAATACAATGATGGAACTTCGAAAGTGCTGCAACCACCCGTACCTCATTACAGGTACAGAATTTATGGCTGTCCCTTGGAGTAGGTTTGCTGCAGTAGTCTGTGTTACCGGCGTTACACGGTGTTCGGCCGTACATCGATTACATTACTTGGCCTCCGCGGCACAGCCCCTCGCTTTGCTTTTTTTTATAGAAATAAAAACCATTTAGTTCAGTTGGACAATGGACGCTACAATTATAAATTGAAAGGGTCTGCTCTGCTCCATACAGAATGGGCTGCAGAGTCGCAGCAGGAGAGATTTCACTTATTGCATGTCGAGGTGAGAGATGACTGACAGACGATGGTAGCAGAGGATTTGGTGCGCAACAGATCCTCATTCGTCATTGACAAATATAATGTAAAATGTGCGGTCAGTGCCGCTACTCACTATACACAGAGTACATGTTATTGCGAATACGAAAGTAAAAAGCGATCGTGCATTCAAAAGCCATTTCAATACCCTGCATATTGATAGCGGCTCCCTGATGCCCGCAAATTATAAGCTTAAATACAAAGAGTATGTGTGATTGCACATTCAAAAACGACCTCACAGTAACATCCCTACCTTTTAGTTCGTAACAAACTTTAGTTTGTTTATCTTGGTTTACATGTTGTTGAGCACAACAGGTTTTAGTTCACCTATGTGACAACTTTGGTCTTGTAGTACATGAAAAAAACCCTCATGCTTATTGGTTGAACATACTGACTTTTTTTATTTTTATGGCTCATCTTTTTTGTTGTCCGCTTACCGCTTTTTGTCTCCCCTCCCTGCAGGTGCTGAGGAGAAGATAGTGGCTGAGCTGAGGGCGGTATATGATCCTATGGCTTCAGACTTTCATCTCCAGGCTCTGGTGCGCTCTGCAGGGAAACTGGTCTTGCTGGATAAGCTACTTCCTCGCCTCAAAGCTGGCGGGCACAAAGTACTCATCTTTTCCCAGATGGTGCGGTGCCTCGACATCCTTGAGGACTACCTCATACACAAAAGGTACAGCTTTAGAAATGTAAAATGTGTGATTTGAGAAGCAACTGTAGCCAGTTTTCATTCTACCTGGTTTGTAAGATGGGTCTAAAATTAGATGTGTTCTTTCTGATCAGATACCTGTATGAGCGCATTGACGGGCGGGTCAGAGGAAACCTGCGACAGGCAGCCATCGATCGGTTCAGTAAACCTGATTCAGACCGGTTTGTCTTCCTACTTTGTACCCGGGCTGGAGGTTTGGGCATTAATTTGACTGCTGCTGACACCTGTGTCATTTTCGACTCTGACTGGAACCCACAGAATGATCTTCAAGTGAGGATCTCATACCATGTTTTTCTTCATAGTGATTTCAATGCATTAAAGAAGATTTCTGTTCTTGTTTTCTGTCCCAGGTGTTCAGTTTCATAATTTTTCTTCACTTCCATACAGGCTCAAGCACGTTGTCACCGCATTGGTCAGTCTAAAGCGGTAAAGGTGTATCGTCTCATTACCAGAAACTCCTATGAGAGGGAGATGTTGGACAAAGCCAGTCTTAAATTGGGGCTTGATCGAGCCGTTCTGCAAAGCATGAGCGGAAACAAAGACAACAGTGTTAACGGGGTAAGAATGAAAGAAATCTGTGTTTTATATTGCTGTATTAGAGGATGGTTTACCCAAAAAAGAAAATTGTTGTTCAAAATGTATGTTTGGGCGAGTTATTGCTTTAAATTGTTGACTAAAACATGCAAGTTCAAGGCAGAAAAAGTTAATTTGTGGTGGATCATTATTCAATGCTGTGCGATAAACTTTCCTCAGATCCAGCAGTTCTCCAAGAAGGAGATAGAAGATTTGCTTCGTAAAGGTGCTTATGCAGCCATAATGGATGAGAATGACGAGGGCAGTCGTTTCTGTGAGGAGGACATCGATCAGATACTTCAGAGAAGAGCAACTACCATCACTATAGAAAGTGAAGGCAAAGGATCCACCTTCTCCAAGGCCAGCTTTGTGGCGTCTGAGAACCGCACAGATATTGCTCTGGATGATCCCGAGTTCTGGCAGAAGTGGGCCAAGAAAGCAGACATTGACATGGACACTTTCAACAGGAAGGTACAGTGTAATTTTTTTCAAAAT